AGATTCTCCAAAAAAAAAAAAAGAAAGCTTCCAGAGATACGTTACGTGCTTACCTGATTCATCGGCCCTTCGCTCTCCACCACCCAACGAATGAATGAATCTTCCGCCAGAACATGGAAAGATACACCGCCATATTATTTGTCCTTTGTGGATGTCGCCCCGCTTCCAGATTCATGTTGCCCGTTGATAAGGGTGGTTTCTTCGGTCCGATAGTGTCAGCACACGGTTTCTTCTCTCTCTCTCTCTCTCTCTCTCTCTCTCTCTCTCTCTCTCTCTCTCTCTCTCTGGCTTGGACCCCACTGGCCGGCGGCTGGAAACCGGTGTTGGCCATAAAAAACGGCCGACCATGTTTGGAAAGAAGTTTCCGCGTTTTGTTGGGACCCCACTGCAGCCCTGAACTTTCGGGCTTGGAAACTCTTTTCCATGCCCAATTAGGAAATCCGCCCAGGGTGTTTCCCGAAAAGGCAAGTAGGCCCGTGGATGTGGTCCAGGCCGTTCTATCGGCATGCACCAGGACATGTCCGTGTGTGGCCGTGCGCGACCACGTGTGGCGCACGCCGCACAGGTACCGCGCACATCACAACGGCCTCGCATGGTTCGCACCCCGCCGGGGCCTTGCTCCCCACGGAAATGACCGTTGGGAATATCGTCGGGTGTCCCAGTCCATCGCCCCCAAACAGTCGCTTGACTTTCCACTCCAGCCGTTGGTGGCACTGTTCCCCGACGCGGTCCTCGCAGAGTGGGAGTGCATGCACGGAGCACTGACGGGAAGCCATAGCCGGCGATTGTGGTGGAGGGGTTGGTGAGGAATCGGGGTTGTGGAAGGTGGTGCGATCGTCAAGCGTCAAGCGGCCGCCTGTGCAGGTGTGCAAGGGTCGACGCTGTTCCAAAAACAGTGACATTGTGGCCATGTCTCCATCGGATGTTGGTAGTGCGGAGGAGGAGTGGGAGGACATGCTGTTCATGCTCGTTCTCCTCATGACCCAGTGGGTGAATAGGCGCAACGCTGCGGCCATGGCCGTTCTTGAAGCAGTCCCCATCACCCCATTCATGTTCCGGGATGTATCGGGGGCGCTGACGATGCTTACAGGGGGGGTTGTTCACGGAATGGCGTTGAGCTGGTTGGCAGCGCAGGAGTTGGGAAGACAGCTGAGGTTTCGGAGAAGGCGTTTGTGGATGTTGGAGCGCAGCGGAGGTTTGTGGAAGGACCTTCAAAGGGTGGGCGGGGAGCACGACAAGGTGTTCGTGCGGTTCTGCAGATTGCCGCGACCACTTTATTTGCAAGTCCTACAGCGCATCACCCCCCACATCCAACGTTCGCCTACCAATTTTCGGTTGCCTCTACCGGCCGGACAGAAGTTTGTTTGCGCACTGATCCGATGGGCGATGGGCGGGTACTACCGACAATCGGCCCACAGTTTAGGTATGGGCCTTGCGAGTGCGTTGAGAAGCAACGAGGACGTCGCAGATGCTATCCTCCACGAGTACGGCCACCTCCTCCAATTCCCTACAGGGAGGCGTTTGGAAGAAGTCCAGAAAGCCTTCGAGGCGAAGGGGTTTCCCGGATGTGTGGGGGCCGTCGACTGCACACACGTGTATATTGACAAGCCGAAGGGGACGCGCTCAGAGTGCTATTATCATCACACTGGAGACTTCTCAGTCGTCGCCCAGGTTGTGTGTGACAACGAGTGCAGAATTGTCAGTGTGTATGTCAGTTGCCCCGGGTCAGTCCACGACTCTCGTGTGCTGCGGATGTCGCCACTGCACCACAACACCATGGCAGGCAGAGGTGTGTTATGCGAGGGTGGAGCTATCATGCACGATGGGACACATGTGGGTCGTTACCTGCTTGGAGATGCCGGTTACCCCCTCCTCCCATGGATCATGACACCAATGGGAAGATTCGCCAGAACTGATGCAGATCGGACCTAAGTCGAATGTCACTCAGCGGTCAGATCTTGTATAGAGCGGCCATTCAGACGTTTGAAGACCGTATGAAGGAATTTCATCCGCACTCACATTGCAAACTTGGAGACGCTGCGCAAGGAATTCATGGCTGTGTGCATACTACACAACCTCATGATCGAGCACAGGGTGGAGATCGACCCGGACCTGTTGAACCACAGCAGCAACAGTGATGGTGACAGGCCGGCACGCAACCATCGTCGATGTGGGCGCCGCCACCGGCGATTGCCACGTCACATTCCTGATCTGAACATCGAAGCCACCGTGCCGGAGATTGATCCTACTTACGGGTCCGACCTCGGAGGGAGGGTCAGGGCAGCCTTGATTAGACATGTGGCCCATCATGTGGATGTTCATGGTGCTCCGCCGCCATGTCCGTGGAGATAGCGCAATCTGAGATGTGTGTGTGTGTGTGTCACCGAACATGAGTATAGTTATCTTTTTGTGAAGGATAGCATGCCTCTCTCTCTCTCTCTCTCTCTCTCTCTCTCTCTCTCTCTCTCTCTCTCTCTCTCTCTCTCTCTCTGTGTGTGTGTGTGTGTGTGTGTGTGT